TTGCTTATATAAGAGTGTTTGGTTTTTATGGATTTTCTTTTTTAATTGTAATATATATTTTAACATTATAATTATTAAAATAATTATTATTTTTATTTGGGCTTATTAAGAGTATATGTGTATATTTTTCAAATATTAAAATTTATTTATTTTATCATTATTATTAAAACTTATACAAATTTGTTTATGTTCTTGATTGGTTGGTATGAATGTTTAGATGATGTCTTTGAGATGCAGAGTGAATAGATGGAGACTACAGTGAAGCATTTACACATACTGAGTGTAGTACATACATAGTAATATTTCTTGGAAAACATTTGTGGTTTAGATTTTATGGAAAAAGGAAATAAATTGTAATTTCTACAGGGTGTGCCATGTTAAACAAATAAAATTGAAAAATTATCAAAAAATAATTGTAACTTTACAAAAGAGATTTTGCGTAAATTTAAAATACCTCCTATCAATTTATTTATGAAATTCAAGATGGCTCTATGTTTTAATGGGAAGTAAATGATTTTTACATAAATTTTTATGGTTGAGCTATAATTTCTTTAGATTTTTCAATTGCAATACCAAGTTATTTATCATATCATGTGTGCATTTAGTTACAGAAAAAAAAAACGGATTCGAATTTAATGAAATTTCTTACAAAAATAATTAAATTATTTTGTTGCTTTACATTGCCTAAAGTTCTCGTTTTGTATAAAAAAAAAAAACAATTAAGTTAGTATTTGTTATAACTTGGTATAAAGTTCTTTTACACATAAACACATATATACATTGTGGCGAGTCGTTTGGTATGTAGTTTCCTTTTTTTTCTTCTTATAAATATTTACTAGAAAAAAATTGTTCTTATATAAAATATTTTATGTTTACACATAGAAGGCATTGTTTTTTTTTATAATATTTACTCTTATTTTGTGTATTTAATTACATTACTTTTTCATTCATCAAAATGTTTTGTGTTGTTCTTTGAAGTGGTGTATTGTTGTGTGATTGATAATTTTGAAAAAAATTTGAAGAAATGAAATTTAATTAAAATATAATATATATATATAAAAAGAATAAAATAAAAAATAAACTAAATTTTAGATCCATAATTTTAATATGAAATTAAATAGTATTAAATTTAATAAAAATCCTTAAGGAAATTTCCCATTGAGAACATTTGCGAAAGAAATCTCCATCGTCCGTTCAATTTTCCATACGACATACAAAAAGTAGTAATGAGAGGGTGAAAGTCCTTGCATATTAAACTTGTCATCTCGGAATTATTCAATCCACATTATGTCAACCCCAATATAGCAGTATCTCCATTTTTTAGGTATTTTAAAGATTTCAAAAAAATAATTTGCAATAAAAGTTTTTGCTGTAAAAATAATCCGGTTATCACAAAACTTCTGATATACTACTTGCTGAGTCCTTATATAGCGGGGCTCCAATTTCTGCAGTTTGACCAAATTTGCAACATATGTGGGTTTCTGTCTCAACGAAAATTAATCCAATGGAACATTTTCAATATCAGATTTATGGGGGGTTTCATGGAATTAGCGGGAATGGTTATAATGTAATATTTTGAAATTCTAAATATTGACAAAATATCAAGACAAAAATTTAGGCCAGGTTTGTGATTGAGGTTAGAAAAAATTGGTTGGTGTTTTAGTATTTTCACTCGACCGAACATAATGCTGCATGAAAATGTACAGAAAGTAAATCCATGTTTTAAATGGGTCCCACATAAACGTACCAGACTGTTCGCAAAATTTTCCTGGTTTTTCAGAAATTTGGGCAATAAAATTGAAGAATTTATATCCGATGAGATTATTTTTTACTTGTACAAGTATCAACTATATATGGAAATTTAAGGACTACAACAAGACTTGCAACATTTTTGGTACCATTTTTTGTATGTAAAGTTTTTTTTTTCTTAAAAGGAGGCGTTTTGGTTCGATTTAACATAATTTGTACATTTTTCAGAATGGTACTGCTTTTGTACTTTTTCTATTCAAAAAGTACTCGCATTTTACATATTTTAGTCTTTTTATGCAAAACGAAAATGCTGCTACCCTTTTTGGCATATTTTCAAGCTAAATGTAACAATTGTGTGCTACATGTACCTTTTTTAGTACTAAGAAACAACAACTTGGAATAATTGCTGATAATATAATGTTGACATATCCATTATAATGGACCTGTGCAAAATGTCGATATAGCCCTTTTCGACCTTTCGTCTGTGGAAATCAGTCTAGTTTTCGAACGAATTAAAGTAGGTTGATAAAATTTTACTCAGGTGTAGTTTAGGTCCGTATAATTTGCAATGGGTAAAGGAAACGCTAGTTCTAAGGTATTTTAGCCATAGTTTTAAAACGAATTATCTGTAAATTTGCAGTTTGTTTCCCCAGTACCTAGGAGATATTCTGTAAAAAAAAAGAACACAGTCGATCAGCGTAAATTTCTTAGTGGATTTAGCGATCCCCGTCCGTATGGTGTAATCTCGCTATCTTTCGACCTAATTGAAATAAAAAGCTAAAAACTTGCACACATGTGTATGTTGGTTAAGTTCGTAAATGGATCATGTCGGTCCACGTTTTCCTATAACCCTCATATAACGTTACATCGGTATTTTGATGATTTTAGCGACATTATAGACCAGAATTGATTCAAATTACGTATTTAAAGTTCGAAATGGGTTCAAGATCCTACGACAAAAAATTTGCGTTTGCAGGTCCATGTCTTCGTATAGCCCTCATATAACGTTTTCCATTTAAAATGTATTTTTCGACGATTTTTTTCATTTTCAAGTTCTTTCCGAATGGAGGAGGTTATTAAAAAAATCGACTTGGCTGAAATTAGGTCATTTTGCAGGTGTTATTATTTATGTCACTTTATTTTGAAGGGAATTTTTTCTATGAAAGAAAATTCGTCTTCTTATATCCTCCATATAACTGGACCTTCCTATATTTGCTATTTTCATGATTTTAGCCACATTGTTTAACGTAGTACAATGATATATGTCACACTTTTCAACGGAATCATTTAAAATGTGCTAATTGAATTTCGTAATGCGTACTACCTCCAAGGACAGATACCGGTCTTCGTATATCTCCTGTAGTGGTGCCTTCCGAGATGATTCCTCGTATGACAAATTATTTATACAGCTCGACGTTTCCATGTAGACACATCTATCCACATTTTGATAACTTAAATTTTAACAGCTATATATATATATATATATATATATATATATATATATATATATATATATATATATATATATTTTTTTTTTTTTTTTTTTTTTTTTTTTGTATTGCAATTTAGATCCGTGGACTCCTTCTGGTACCTCCTCCTCAAATTTTCAATTTTTTTTTTAAATTTCAAAAAAATCAAATTTTTTTGAAAATTCAAAAAAAAAAAAAAAAAAACGACTTCTTCGAACTTTGCACTTTTCCACATTTTCTCCTCACAAACTGGCATATTTTTCAAAAATTCTAATATTTCATAATAAATCGATTTGATTTTTTTCATTGCAAATTTAAGATCATTAAGAAATAGAAAAACACATAAACATATGATCTTCGACTTAGAAAGGGGAATCTCAAAAATTAAAAATTCGGTCTATTCCTCCAAAAATAAGGACAATCACACTTCATAAAAAATACGAAATAATAATCCAATTTCCACCAAAGTTTGTACTCTATAAAATTGCTGTCAACATAAGGCTTAGACAGACAGACAGAGAGTCACTATTCCTCACAACACTAAATCTATTGGGGAAAATGGGATATATGGGCCTTTTTCTTTTGGTGGGTCCCTAAACATGTTGACAAGTTTGAAAAATGACGAATCATACATAATGCGGACTGTGTCCTCGATTTAGTCTAAACTTGTCTCGCCATATGGGACAATATCAGACTAATATTTTAAATAATGTGAAATAAGATTTTTAAGTTCCCAAAACGTTTCACATCTCAAAATTTCTATCTTCACCAGATGAAATGTGATTATGGAATATACAGTGCGAGATGAAAAAACTGCAACCAACTTTAGACTTCTGTCATTTCTAAGCCACTCGTCCAACAGCTGTTAAAATTATTCCAGTGACAGCTCATTATATTGTCTACAAGCGTACAAAAGCATTTTGGTGAGAAAAAAGTTATTCCTGATGGAAGCGTGATTTCTTTGTATTTGGCTGGAAAACCACAAGTGGCTATCGTTAGAGCACTGCAGCATAGACTCAAAAGAGCTAAAGAGTTGGTTTGCTTGACCGAAAGTGGTGAACTGCCGAATTTGTTGGTTTTCTCCGATAAGAAAATATTCGTTGTCCAGAAGTTTGTAAACAAACAAAATGATCGTGATCTTTAGAGGAATTTTTCCCAAAACCCCTTCCTCTTTCTAATATCTCATTTTATTATTTTTTCCATCAAATTTGTGGTAGGTTTAGTTATTTAGATTATTTTCCAAGATTGACTGTATCTGTTCCTCTCTCCTAAATGTTAAAATGTGAAAAAAATAATATTAATTCGATATCAATTTGTTGGAAATCTGAATTAAGGAAACACTTTTGTTGAGTGGAGCATTGGTCTGACCCCTGGACCACCGACGTAGCCAAGGAGGTATCTTTTGAAGTATTTTCTGCACTTTTTGCTTTAATAAAGAGCCGATTGTGGCCTAGACGGTCATATTAAATATTAAATGGGCGATCATTGATATTTTTCTAGCTCTCATCCACTTCAAATTTAGATTCCATATTAATTCAAACACTCTTTTTCCTATAGAAACAAATTAAGCCTCTGTTACAGATGTTTTTTTTTATTAAAAATTCGAGTCTCTGTGATTTCTGATTTCACATAGAAACACTCCAACAATTATATAATTTTAGAGAGAATAATAAAAACTTTCCTTGTTGTGTTGAACTACTTGGTCACTCCGGACCAAATTTGATGCCAAATGGGGTTTTCTTCATCTTTTCTGTTTTTGCTAAATAATAAACAATCCATAAATTTAAATAATTTATTGTTCATTTATTGGTTGTGTATATATGTATAAGTGTTTTTCTTTTAAATATATATTTAATTAATTACATTCATATATAGTTTGTTTGTTTATATTTGACAATGTGTTTTTTGTTTTTGTTGTATTCTTATTTTGTATATTTCCCATTTTTCTTTTGTGATGAATTATCATTGTTATAGCGACGACTATAGTACTTAATTAGAAAAAAAAACAGTAAAAGAAAACTTAAAAGTAGCTATATACGATTCACTTATTTTTTACCATATAATTAGTATTAAAAGCTAAATTTGAGTGTTTTTCAAAACAATATTGCAATGATGATCAATCATTAAACGACAGTTCATTGAACGAAAACGAGAATTGCTTAAACATATCTAAAACATTGAGATTTGAAGAAATAATGCGAGTTTGTAAAAATTACAATATGTAAAATTAAAAAAACATGAAATACAATATAAATTACAAGTTATTTTAAAATTAAAAAATTGGTAAATAATTAAGTAGTTGGAGATGAAAAAAGCTTTCTTTTTCACACATAATTTTTTGTTCTGCTTACAAACGTATATTGATTTGTTGAGAAATAAAATCTTCTTTGTCATTTGCGAAACATTTGAACACAGTATCAAAAAATTCAAATATTTATAATTAAGGAAATGTTGTATAAAAAAATTATTATTTGTTTTCTTAGGGTTCTAAGAAAAATTCAAGTTAGGGTAGGAAGGGAGAGAAAAAAAATAAGAGACGTTTTATACGATTTGCTTTTATTTTTTTGTTTATAATTTGAAGCTTTTTAAAGCACTTCAGTCCGTTTGATATTCATTTGGTGGTGGTGGTGGTGGTGGTTGATTGGTTGTTTGTTTGTTTGCTTCTTTGAATGATGACGATGATGAAGTTTACGATGACGATTGATTGGTGATCTGGTTGAGATTACTGCTTTCCAAAGTAGAGAGGAGATTTTTCACAGAGCGCGCAAGTGATAGATAGAGCGTTTAAAATGTTTCATCGGTAAAGGACATCATCAAACTGAAACATTTCCGCCTTCTCCCAATTCTATACATCGCTCTGCTTGGCATTGGTGTTGATGATGAAGGCTCCATTGATGTGACCATTTTGCATTGTTGTTGTCGTTGTGGTCGTCGTCGTTTTGCCATTGGTGTAGTAGGCAGGCGTTTTGCCATTGGCAAACATGACCGCTGTCTGGGTGGCACCCACACCATTTAAATGGGCAACGAGTGGATTTTTGGTCGTCTCGCCAGGCGGTGTGGTCAGTGTGGGTGTTACCGGTGAGGGTTTTATCAACTCCAATTTATCATCTGTTGAGCCCTTCAAGGTGGTCTTGACCAAACCCCGCAGATCACTGTTTACCGAATGCGGCATGGCATAACGCAGTTTGCTCCAGAACCGTGGATCACCCCACTTCAAGTAGGTGTTCATTTTCAAATAGGCCTTGAGATCCGAGTCCAAATTATCAATGTTACCAATATCGCCATAAATAATCACAATGACACGTACCCTGCCCTCATTGAGTGAGGCCTGATGGGCAGCCTTGAATTCCATTTTTGCCCACACCGATTCAATGAAATTTTGTGATAACACCACTATGGTGCGCCGGGAGTCCTCCACCGAACGTATGATATTATCGGGTATACATTCGCCCACCAGCCAATCCCTGGCATGGACACACAACTTATACGAGGGATTACCATTTTCCAGTTCCGGTACCAAATAATCGGAAATGAATTGCTCATCTTTGTGGGAGTACGAGATAAAGGCATCATATTTCTTATCCTTGTCCAGTTCCTCCTCGGTGACCAGGCACAGGCAGCAATTGTTGGCATATAACCAAATTTTAATTTCCTTGTTATATTTGTAGTACAAAGCAGCCACGGCACCAATAACCAAACCCATTACCGAAATGGCAATGCCCATGGCCAGATATAGCTCATTGTCGGAACAAATATCGGTAATGGATAGCTCACTAATGTACTTGACAGTGGGGAAGTTTACACATGCCATGTCACTGAAATCCTTGATCATGTCGTATTTCCTTTGGGCAAACATAAACAGCGGTTTGGCATCACAATCACAGTTCCAGGGATTTCCCGACAAATAGAGGGTCTTCAGGGCCCGACTTTCGTTCAAAAAGTTAATGGTACTCTCATTGAAGTATTTCAAATTGTTGCGACGCACATCGAAATAACTGATATTCTGGGGTAGCTGGGAACCCTCAATCATCGAGAGATTGTTACCGGCAGCATATATTTTCACCACACTGCCATAGCCGGGCAATGAGGCCAAGGGAAGTTGGGTCAGGTTGTTATTTTCCACATACAATTCCGTGCCGGCCAATTGGCCCTCAATATTTGGCAACGCCGGCAGTTGGGTCAAATTACCATTGCTACAGTTCACCATGAGCATTTTATCAAAGCTTCGCACCCAACAATTACAACCCTGTGGACAACGTTTGGGATTGGAATTCTCTTGATCGTATGGGCACAACAAATCCATGGGATGTAAACTCTTCACCAATTGTCCGCTCAACGGTTCCGGTGTACTGCAATGCAAATTGTCCACATTCATTTTCAGCAACTTTTGTTTACCCTGTCCATTTTCTCCTCTAATGTACTGGACAAAGGCCAACAGGAAACAATCACATTCCATGGGATTGTCATTGACATCAACATTAATTGCCGCATTCGGTGCTCCATAGACATTAATGCCAATAAAATTCACCAATCTTAGCTGATTGTGTGTCAAATTCACCCGCAAATCATGTTTATTCAAGAACTGTACATCATCTTCGTTTATCATCGTGATCTCATTGTAGCTCAAATCCAAATCCTGGAGATTTGGCAATGTCAAACGCCAGTCTTGGGCAATATACATTATGGAATTATTTTTCAAATTCAATCGTGTCAATTTTGAGGCTGCCTGGAAGGGAGAGGCTCCATTGGAGGGTGAAATGCCCTCCTCTATGTATGATGTGAAACGTTCACTGAGCGACAGGCGATTATTTTCCAAATTCAGATCTTCCAAACTTTGTGTGTTGAGGAAAGCATCGTAGTTAATGGTGGTCAAATGATTGTTGCTCACATCCAGTTCTTTGAGTTCCGTCAACGACAAAAAGAGGGCGCTGCAAGGGAAGAAAAATTTTCAAATATTATTCTCATACTCGTTTGTATATCAGACATGACTAATTATTTTATTTTCTTAAAGTTTTATGATTTAGGGTCTGTTTTTGTATGACCACAAACAAGTTACTAAAAAAGTTTCATATTTTTAATTTTTTAGATATATGTTCAAAATATTAAAGACACCTTTTGTCATATATTTGACCCTTATTTATGGTTTATATTAATACTAATGAGTGTTTTTTATTTTTCTTCTAGGTAAGTGTTTAAGGCCTAATTGCAAACCCGCAAAAGTGTAAGTATGTAAATAACATCACAAACACCATATGCGCATTTGGGCGCCATTTATCTGAATTTTCATGGAGAAAATATTTCTTTCTTCTGTTTCTGTAAACAGAACGGAAAGTGGATTCTTATTCTAGAAGTGTTCAGAATTCCTTGAAAAGGCCAATTATACATTTTTCCAAAGACTCCTACACTCTCCAAAAATACTCTAGACTCTAGAAATACCCAGCAGAAAGAAGTAGTCAACTTTTAGACCTTTCGAATTTCCTACTTCTTCAAAGAAGTCGACTTTGAATTTTGACCAATAGCATCAATGCTATTTCTGATTTTTATACTATCCACCATAATATGGAGGATATATTAAGTTTGTTATTCCGTTTGTAACACCTCGAAATATACATTTTAGACCCCAAAAAGTATATGTATTCTTGATCAGCATAAAATTCTGTGGCGATTTCCGTCCGTCTGTACGTCTGTGGAAATCAATTTAGCTTTTGAACGAAATGAAGTGGGTTGATGAAATTTTACTTAAATATATACTAGGTCTGCAGGACTTTTGGTTTTGGTATAGCCTGCCGTTATTCGGAATTTTGATGATTTTAGCGACAAAATTTACAGGAATTGTTTGAAATTTGGTCCGTAATGGATATTTCAGCCTAAGACAGAAAATTGTCTGTAAAGGTCCACGTCTTCGTATAGCCCCCATATAACGGTACCTTCCGATATTCGGTACTTTGATGATTTTAGCGACATTATTCGCCGGAATTGTTTCAAATTTGTTATTTGAAGATTGTAATGGATAGTGCAGCCTACAGAAAATTGTCTGTGCAGGTCAACGTCTTCGTATAGCCCCCATATAACTTTGCCTCCCGATATTCGGTATTTTGATGATTTTAGCGACATTATTCACCGGAATTGTTTCATATTTGGTATTTGAAGTTCGTAATGGTTACTGCAGCCTATGAAAGAAAATTGTCTGTGCATGCCCACGTCGTCGTATACATTTGGTATTTTTAAGATTTTAACAGAATTTTAATGTTTTTTTTTTAATTTCTTTTTTGAAAATGGCCAAATTCGTTCCAAATGATGGAGGGTGTTCCAAGTTCTGCTCGGCCGAACTTACAGCTTTTTTACTTGTTGTAAACCAAATTTAAGTAAAATGCATTTCGATTTGAGATTTTCTATGAGTAGTGTAATCAACTTAATAATTACATAAAACGCGGTTATAAAAATGAGAAGTGGACAAAAAATTAAAAAAAAGTCGCATCGCAAAGTCGCAAAAACGAAAAAAAATATATTCTTTATTAAAAAATACATTTGACACTTCTTTCCTTTATATAATTTTTATTTGTGATTTTCATGGATAAATAATTGATTCGACTCGTGTTACTTCAACGTAACCTATTTTGCGATTTTGTCCCAGCACATAAAAAGGGGTTTATGGATTTTAATTTTCAAAGCAAAGTCGTCTAAAATTGATTTCAATTTGATATGTTTGATCTGCCAACATTTCGAAAGAGATTACGTTTTTTGGTGGGCATTATTTAAATAACTGGAATATGACAAAGATCTATGACCTCAATGTTGAAATTGTTTAAGGATTACCACAGATAAAAGTTGAAATTGACTTTGAGACTTTTTAACCCCAAAATTTGATTAAACGAAAGTCGACTTAGGTATCCCTATCCCTGCCACCCACTACCCCAATTCGTTTCCATGATTTTTAAAAATAAATAATTTAATCATTTTTACAGAGAGAGAGAGATAGAGATTTACCGACAGTGCCTACTGCAGTATTTCGAAACAGTTTACACGTAATATTGTAATATTTCGTAATATTTTGCAATATATTTGTAATTCAAGTAGTCCATAGTTCAGAACATTTCCATTGTAATTTAGGTGTTTAATTCGTAGTGTAATTCAAATGCAGTTCGATTCCCAATATATTTCATTTTTAATTCGTATTGCATTATTTGTAATTATATTACACAATTCTCGAAACTTATTCAAAATTTTCGGGCGTATGTCATATAAAAAGTATATTTTATATTAAAAAAAAACCTTAAAGAATATTTTGTCGTTTATATGACTTTATGATTATTCTTATTATTATTATTCTCTTCCTATTACATTTCATATTTTCCCTTTGTCTTATTCCATAATTTCTAGTACCCCTTTAAAATTATTAATTTTTTTCAATTTAGTAGCAATTTTTTTATTGTTTAAAACATTCTTAAAATTCTCCCTTTAATGTTCCCATTTGAATGCTGCTCTCAGCTTTTATTAGCTGTGGAAGTGATGGGTTTCCTGTTTTGTGTTTGTTATTTCCGGTTTGGCGAAATGTCGCGATTTTCTTCCTTTTTTCTCTGTTATGCACTACATTATCTTATCTCCTGATAGTGTATCGTTTTCATACAAACGATCAGAGTCCATGGAACTAGATGAGGAACTAATTCTTTCGATGGAACTATATTTGCCTAACTCTACTTCCGTCTATAAAAGACCCGTCAAAGGTCATCTGCCTCAGATAATAAATAATTTAATAAAATATTAATATTTTTATTTTTTATAAAATAATAATTAATAAGAAAAAAGTCTTCAACTTACGCCGTGATCTCCGTCAGCTGATTATTATCCAATTTCAGAACTTTCAAATTTTTGGTATTGTGGAATATAAAATCCGGCAAATTTGTCAAATGGTTATTGGACAGCTCCAAAGTTTGTAGATTCGCCTGACTTTCGAACAGCTCCACCGGCAGGGTGCCCAATTTATTGTCCACAATGACAATTGTTTCCAGCCCAGTAGAATTGGCAAATATGTCACCCGGTATCGATTCCAAATCGGTGGCCAAACGAACATCCGACAATGCGGGCAAGTTGGCCAACAGTGCACTGGGTAAACTTCTCAGCGGTACACGATTATAGTTTAGTCTTAACTTTTCCAATTTTTTGTTATTTTTAAAGAGGCCCTCTGGAAGTGAATGGAAGCGGTTTTTATTCAAATTAATGTTGATCAGGTTTGGCAGGTATTCGAAAACATCATGTGGGAAGGTTTCAATGCCATTGTTACTCAAATCCAATTCGGTAAGGGATGTAATGCCGGCAAATGTTTCCTTGGTCAAGTTGTGTAACTCGTTACTCCACAAATTAAGAATTTGTAGGTTCTTTTGATTGCGGAACACTCCATGTGGCAGTTTCTTGAGGTGGCTATAGCCCAATTCAATGAAAACCAGATTTTCCAATTGGGCAAAAATGTCCGCAGGCAGTTCGGCATTATTGGAACGCAAATCAATCCATGTAAGATTTCTCAGCGAAGGATCGGCAAATAGATCTGAGGGCATGTTCAGCAAATGGGAAGAACTAAAACGTAGGCGTCTCAGCGAGTGTAGACCACTCAAATGTTCCCTTGTGATATTCGTGCCCAAATCATTGTTGGTGGCGAACAGTAGAGTTGTGTATTTTGTAATACCCAAACCCTGCGGTATACTGGCAATGGGCAAATGCCCCGGCAATGGACAGTCCTGGATTTGAATTTGTGTGGTATTTCCAATTTGCATTGTTGGCATCAATTTGTAATCCTTGTAGTTCGTGTTAAAACACTGAATATTGACATGATCACCGGGTCGTATTTTAATGGCAATTTTTGGATTTTCCATGGGACATTGAATTTGTATATCGGATAGCAGGGGTACACATTCACATTTGTTTTTACCCGATAACTCCATACATTCGTCCCGCAGTCGCAGTGCATCTGGATTAATTGCTCGGGAAAATGGCAAGTTTATACTTAGACTGCAAAGCAGTATTAGAAGGCTGCAGGTTGTGGACATTTTCAGCAGGGGCGTTGTAGGCGTTCTGGAACGCCTATTTAATTTGAGATTCATTTTTTTTGGGATGTGTGGCTTGTTGGATTTGTATTGTTAAAATGGTGGTCCTGTTGCCGTTGTTATTTAACTGGAAAGTAAGAGAAAAAAAATCAATATTTTAATTGAAAATAATTTTGAAAATTAAAACTCTTAGAAAAATTAATTTCTCCTACCTCCAGAATTGAAGAAAATTAATTGAATTTCCCCGAATTAATTTTGGAAAATAAATAACATAGAAAATTAAACACTTTCTGTAAACATATTTCATTGATGCCTGAAAGTATGCTTTTTGTTATAGAATAATATTTGCAAGTCCCAAAAGTATGCTATTATTTTTATGTTAAATTAAAAGTGTTGCCTTTTCTGTTCTAATTAAAACCCCATTCTTTCCCACATCTTTACACTCCAATGAGAAAAAGCAACGTTTTTGTTTGAAATACCTCTAGGCACTCTCTTCCTATTTTTCTTTGGACATAATTGAGGTAAATTTTTCTGTGTGTATGTGTCTAAAAACAAATGTAACCATTTATGCGGTTTTCTTTATTTTAACAAATTTCTTTACATTTACGAAACAAAGAACAGCAAACAACTTGTTCAACTACAGCATACCCCAGGGCGTTAATGTTAAAACAAGCAAGCCATTTGGTCCTTCCAAGAAGTAACACGCCAACCAATTTGATGTTCGGTTAACCCAAAAACCAAAAATGAGGAAGAAGAAGAAGAAAAAAACAGACGCCATGCAATTATAAAATATTTTTCTAAAGAATTCCGTTTTTAGTATAATAAGGCTAATTTATTTGCCATTAGCCAAGTTAAAATGTCTCTTAACAACCTTTTCCAAAGCAAATTAACAACACTTAAGCCTTTTTCACAATAATATTTCTTTTTCTTGTGCTGTTTTGACTTTTGTCGAGTTTTGCAAATGGTGTGGACCATTTATTCAGTTGTTATTCGTTTTTTGCCAGATGTTATGCCGCTTACATCTGAATTTCTTCCTTCCAAGTTACTTAGCTGAGAAAATGTGGTAATTTTTCCGTTTTCTTGTGGAATTTCTTGTTTCAGTTATAAGTGCTGCAGAACTTTTAGTTGTATTAAGAGAAATAAGAAAAATAAGGAAACTTCTTAATTTGAAGGTGTTTCGTTGATGAACATGAGAGCGTTGAGGGGTCATACTTTAGGTATAAGTTCATTTATATAATTAAAAGTGGTTACTAATCGCCATTTAAGAGAATGCTTGTTGAGAAAATTTTCTTAGGAAAAAATATGTATAAAACATTACTGAAATATTTCATAGGTCATGGAATTAAATAGCAGGATACTAAACCCTCTACAGATGGGTGTCTTACATTATTTATTTTGCGCCTACAAATATGTTGCTAAAGGCTAAACTTAAATTTGAGGTAAAGGTGGAGTTCAACACACTGAAATATATTGGTACCGTTATATTTGTATATAGTGTACCTCCCAACAATATTCTAAAATGTTTATATTTTTTATTAACTATATAAATTAAGTTATACTTGATAATAACTTATGTTATGCATCGAACGCCATCTATGCCTCAATTTTTTGCAGCACACCTGTGAAACTTTGTTTTGGTTGTATAAGTGATTTCTAGTCAACTAATAACCTCTATAGGTAATGTTATTCAAAGATGGAATGCTTAAAATGTTTGTATCCAATCATAAAATGCTTAATATTGAGGTGTAGATGGCGTTAAATAGACCAAACAAGCAAATGTCATGCAAAAGTTTATGTCATTAATAACAGACAGAGGTTCTCTACAGTCGATTTTTAAAAAAGTGTGCGCTATAACAAAGGAAATTGAAAATGAGCTCTAGGTGGCGTTCGCCATACGACATAGGAACCTAACAATGACAGCTATGATAACTTGAATAATTCTCAGGGAATGAAATTAATATGTACTCGACAGAATCCTCAACAGACAACATTTTATATGGTATAACGACCGTCATCTAGGCCTTTTTCAGTAGCGCATAATTAAGCAGGAAATTGAAAATGAGGTCTAGATGGCGTTGTTTATACCATATAAGAAGCTAATAATGATAACTTAATATATCTCAGGCCATGACATTGATATGTGATCTATCTGAATCCTCTGCAGACTACATAGTATTAAAATTTTTTTTGCAACCACAGGAATGATGCCTAATATATACATTGAAATTGAGATATAGATGACGTTCGATACTTTAATTATTCCTTAAGACATTCGCATGAATTATATATAATAACACAGGTTGAGATAAAAAAACTGCAACAAAGGCAAACGCCATAAGATTTACTTTTTTTTTAAATTTATTGAATGAAAGTAACAAATGTCGGAAATATCATCAAATTTTAGAATAAGTTTAGATTAGTTCGTATTGGTCGCCTTTGGCATGAATTATGGCCTTTAAACGGCCAATGAAACCGTCACACGCTGCCCGAATGTTGCTCTGCGGTATTTTGGCGCATTCCCGGCGAAGCGCTTGCTTGATGTGATCTACACTTTGGCATTTTGAAGTGCTAATCTTGCTTTCCAAAATACTCCAGACACAATCCGAAGATTTTGGTGACCATTGTACGCTATTCAGCTGAGTGCTGTTGGAATGTCCAAGGTCTGTGGCCAAAATGTTTGCGTGCCCAAAGCTTTAATACACCCTCCAGAATATTTTCGCGATAATATTCGGAATTTATTCTGAGCGGAGAGCGACCATCGGCTGTTATGGCGGCCCACACCATCACCGGCGCTTGAGTTCTGGTGGCCAACCAAAGGTGCACATTTTATGGCTGACCTCTTTGGCAAGTAATACGATAATTTTGTTTGTTTACAAACTCCTGGACAACGAATGTTTTCTCATCGGAGAAAACCAAATTCGGCTGTTCACCACTTTCGGCCAAGCGAAGCAAATCTTTAGCTTTTTTGAGTCTATTTTCTTTCTGTTGCGGTGTAAGTTCTTGCACTTTTTGGAATTTCACTGGCTTTACCCCGAGCTCATTTTTCAATATTTGCCGAATGGAATATTACGATATGTTCTGCTCACGAGGTATTTTTCGGCCACTGCGACGCGGGTTTCGCTCAAGTCGCTTCTTTACTTTTCGAGCCATTTCTGCTGATGTTGTTGTTTTCTTCCGTCCACTTCCTTGACGTCGGTCTATGGGCTACACAAAAGATTTATTCACATTTAAATGCTGGAGAGCTTTAACGAAGGCAATTACTTTCACTATAGTGAAACTGAACTATAGATGGCGTTCTCTACATTAAATAAGTTTCTGTCTTCTACCCAGTTTTAACCATTCTATTCGGAATTCTTGTTGAACTTATGTACTGAATACAATTTATTGAGTTACTCCCTATCTTATAAACAAATATGCACAAATTTTCCCCAATTCCCCAGCACATAACTTACTTCTTGCTGACACTTTGTATATCACATTCACTCGCCTTACTTGCCGCTGCAACCAAAACTAATTACATACCCTCAAATGCCAATTGTCATACATGAACATGCATAATTATATGGACAAACATGCTTGCACACACAAAAATTACAATGTTTGCGGAATTTCTTTTTCTCTCTCTCTCTCTTGTTTTAAACAAAAGCATTTTTATCAAACCATTGTCATAGTCAAATGACAGTCTTGCATGTGGTGAATAATTACCCAGCCACTGGCTCTTCAAACAAAAGAGGAATATCCCCAAAGACACCAACCAACATTGTGAGTTTGCTAAGTTTTGGTTCACACCAGTCGTTTTTTTTTCTTCGTTTGTGGCGCCACAGTCCCCACAACAAAAAATTTACATTGAATTAGCTTTACAACCACTGATGCCAATGAGGGATGGAGGAGCAGGAGAAGGGCCTGATGCAAGAAGTGAAAGTTTTGTTGCAAATTTGTTGAACGAAATTTATGCTTCCCTTTGTGTTTTTTTCGAGGTTTTTACTTTCCTTTTCACAATAGCCAACTTATCACCACAATGTCGTTGGAAAGGCTGCGGGGGTTTAAAGTGTTGAAGGGGGGTTTTTCAAATAATTCACAAATTCAATTTGCATTCGCCAACCAGCCAGTGACAGTTACAGTTAAGAGCAGACAATCATTTTAGATTAAAAACCCACAACCATTATTGCTGTCCCACAATGTAGTGAGGGTGAATGGAGTGGAAGGCATTTATATATATCTATGTATTTTTATCGCTTCCCCAACAAACCATGGGTACGGAGGTGGATATCAATGAGGGATTTTATATCGTACCAGAACTATGCAACTTTTTTTGAACTGTGTATCCAAATAGACTTAATTTCGGAAGAGAAACAGGTGATGATCAAAAGTTGGATCCTTTCAAAATAAGCTTACTCAAAGGAACTATTCAGTGAGTGAAAAGATCGGAACTAGTTCAAGGTGTTTAGTTCGTCTACTTCCCTTTAACAATTTTCGTAGTTTTTTGTCTCATATCGTTTGGACCTAAAGGAAAAATTCAAAAATATAGGTCTTTTAAGAAGATCAGGGTTGAACTAAATGAATCGGAGAAACTAATTGAAGAAACTAGTTCATTTTAAGGAAATGAACGAGAATGTTCAATCCGTGCAGCAAATCGGATTACCTAACTCTTTTATGACTGAACTCATATCAATAACTAAATTGAAATAAATCGAACTGTACTTTAGTCTTAATCAATGGAACAAAAAAAAAATACAGTTGAACTCAAACGAACAATTGAACTAGTCAGAACTATGCACATACGATGGAACTTAAAGGATACGATGTACCTAGTAACAAAGTACCTCTACAGAATATAAAGGGGTAAACGAATTATGACCTTCATACGGCCAATGACCTTTTTCGGCCACTGCGACGCGGGTTTCGATCAAGTCGCTTCTTTACTTTTCGAACCATTTCTGCTGATGTTGCTGTTTTCTTTCGTCCACTTCATTGACGTTGGGCTAGGCTACCAATACCACGGTAACGAGCGATGGTACGAGACACAAAAGATTTATTCACATTTAAATGCTGGAGTGCTCTAACGATAGCCACTTGTGGTTTTCCAGCCAAATATAAAGAAACCACACTTTCACGCTTGAATTCCAT